CTGCACTCCAGTCTGGGCGACAGAGTGAGACTTCAACTCAAAAAAAAAAACAAAAAAAACTTGGAACCTAGGGACAGAAAGTGTATTGGCCTGCAACAGTTGAAGACCCAGGGTTGCAAATTTTCTGTGGGCCTTCTCCTCTCTTGAAATGTCTGTAGTTACTTTCCCCAGTTGCTCAGGCCCCAGGTAAATCCTATTTCTTAGCACTGCCACGGTCATTTGACTTATGTTTAAGCTTATATCAGAAATATTTCCCTTCTGTGATACCAGCACTTAAGTAAGAAAAACTCTAATTCAGAAAGTTTTAAGAGCAAAAAGGGACAAGAGCTAACTGCTTAGACTGGCTATTTGATGTCCTTTAACCTTGTGTTACAGTTACATAGCACCTCATGGGCACAACAGTCTCCAGCAGAGAGAACTAAATAGTTACCACCATATTTCTCATGCTCTTCCAGGTGTCCCTGTTCCCTCAAATTCAAGAGATCACATTCAGGCCAGGAACACAGAGACCATTTAGCCCAGTGATTTCACCCAGATTCACTTTGGCCCCAAAGATCCCTTGCTGTGGAGTGGAGCCCAGTCACCTCGGCTTGGTTCTCGTCAGGAGGCTCACTGCCTCCAGACCATCTCTCCTTCTGCACACCAAGAACTTGGCCTGCTTGCTTGCTTTCCTGGACTGCTGTTTCCAAGAAAGTAAACGTGTGGAAAGTAAACCTTCAGCTCTTGCAATCTACCACCATGCCTCTGCATGCATGTGAAATGTTGGCCTCCTCCACATGGGTGGCAGCGGTGGTAGGAATGACGAGCTGTCCAGAAGTGGCTTCTGCTTCACTGAAGTGGGGACCCACAGCCTTCGTTTCTGTCTCTGTTTATCCTCTGGCCTGCACATATTTGCTGGCATCTGACTGAGCCTACACCATTTTTTGAGAACCTGAAATAGAAGGAAATTGTCTGTGACCCACGGTCTTAGTACTGGCCCTAGAAGACTGTATCTTAGAGCAGTTTGCATGGGCTTGCTTTTAGGATTTAGTTACAAGGTTCACTTTTATATCTCTGTTGCTTCTTGGCCAGTTATCAACAAGCGTTCTCTTTAATATCTAAGATAGAGGTTTGGTCAATAGTGGTTAATACTAAATAGTAACCTAACTCCATTTTAATTTCCTTTGTGCACCCTGCCCCCACCCCAGCCCTCACAAGCGTTGTCATACGTAATATTTTATCAACACAATATAGTGAAATCTTAGGAGTAAAGCATCTTCACCTTACACATGTCATTGGCAGGCACATGGATTTGGGAGATGCACAGTTGAGTGGAAGAAATGGTAGGAGTTTGAGGCTTTGCCCTTCGCCTGTGTTGAGTGAGCTGTGGTCCGTCTGTCAGCGCCTCCCTCCTGCCCTCTTCTGTGCTTCCTCTAAGGTGCTGAGTTGTAAGGCTCCTTCACTGTCACTCCGGGGCTGGCCTTTGCAGCCCCTCATCACTACCAGTGCACTATTTTTCAAGAGGACTGAGTATTTTTGTATGTCTTTGCCTTCTCTTTGTCCATCAAACGTCAGAGTTGTGTCCTATATATGATTCCTTCTCTGAGCAGAGTGTCAACATGTCTTAGAGAAACACGTTTCCTTCATGGGCCATTTTTCTCATATTTAAAATGTACCTATTTTTATCCTTTGCAAACCATTTTCTACCTTCTTGTGTTCCTGTCTGTCCAGGCCAGAAATCACAAGAGGTGTAGAGAATATTTTCAGCACCTGTTTCAAAAGATCTGCGTCAGGACTTTCTTTGCACACC